AATACTTTTTTCGAACTGTCAATTACGACAGTTTTCTATGAATTTTATACGAGATTGTGTATTGTGACGTCACGTTTTTTTATCGTCAAACAGCATAAGCACTTATTTCTTAAATATTTGCTGGAAAAATACTAAAATTAAGTTGGTTTTAAAATCAATTGATGAAAGTCTGATTATTATTTTTTATATTTTATTGCATTGAACAGTCGAAATTATTTATTTTTGATTAAGGAAAGTATCCAATTGTATTATACCTTTTGATTGTATACACAATCAATAGGTGTTTCAATCAATCAATATTGTATACACAATCTGTAGGTATAATACCTATTATTATAAATTATTACTGGAATTGTGACGAAGAAAAAAAATAATTCACAAGGGTTTAACCGCCGGGCATCGAATATTAAAATAAGTTTTCCATATTACCTTTCTCAAGATAGATTATAAAAGTAATCGAAAGACTTTGTTTTAAGTACTTGCTTGGGACTTATCTGGTAGGAACTCCGAACCAACAAAACTTTTAGATTCTTCTAAGTACTTACTTGATGTTTCTACTGCTTACCATGGGTCTGTCAGCTCCAGACGGTATGATTCTATTTGTTTTTTAAATTACGTTGCCCCAGACTAGGATTTACCCCTGTATCGTGGGTGCGTTTACAAACATACAATTTCACATACATATGACACCCAGACCCGGAACAACAATCTGTGGATCACACAAAGAGTTGTTCCGTGCGGGAATCCTCGCGACACGTTGCGCGGCAGTCAGTTGCCCAACGCCGACCGTGCAGTCATAATATCTATGATCTATTCTCCATTGGGATATTTTCTTTTTTGATCTCTGTCTGGATTTTAGTGATACAATGTTCTTACACAATTGAACCAACAAAACTATATATAAACCAAAAAATATTTTAAAAAATTGTCAGTAGTAGCACGAAGTCTGGAAATGTGCCCGGTATACGGCTCACTCCCTATTACATGGGACTCATAACATCAATGGTGAAAAGTGGGTGTTACATTGTACAGTGGCATTCAGTGCCATTTATCCCTTCGGAAAAAAAGGCGTGATGTTATGTTTAGTTTAAAAATTGCAACTATTGTGAATCTAATTGAAAAAGAGTGACCTATGGAGTTGCTTTCTCGTTCTTCTCCATAGGAATCTACACCTTGGAATGAGTAAATAGTTTCACTTAAAGTTTTTTGTTGACGTTCAAAAGTGCCTTCTTGGTCTAACTGAAATATATTATGGTGTCTTTGAAAGGATTCTGAATTTAACTACCTATTTGGTATATTATCCATGATTTACAGCTGACTTGTAATACATGAGTTAAAGGGTCTCGCAGTCGATTCTTGGATAAGGATTACAATATAGGAATTTTGCTTACTTGTTTGCACATCGCCTATGATACGGGGGCTTTCCTAGTACAGGCATCTAACTTTGTAAGGCTCTTAACTACTTTGTATCGCTTATTCAGATATGTTTGTATTATGTCATTGTTACTTTATCAGTAAACTGTCATACACCGAGCGGTCACCGGTGACCGCATAAAGATCTCATTTTTATAAGTTTGTTGCAATCGGTCATAGAAAAAAAATGTATTTTCTTCTTTTTCGGAAAATTTGCAAAAATATAGTATTTAGGGGGACACCACATAGTCCAACAATGAACTACGGACTGTCTATGAAGTTTTTATGAGAAACCGCTTCACGTTAAAGCTCTCAACAGTTGCCAAGTTTGTTGACAGCCTTACTAAGGCATCATATTTCGATAGTGGTCTAAATTACAATTGTAGGAGGTATAATCGTCATAAGTTACCGTTAGCGTCACGTTACCGGCGCCGGACCGCCGGAAACCGACACCGCATCGTCTTACAACCGGTTAACAAGACGGTACTAACTGAAGACTATGTTTAAGGAGATAGTAATATAAACTGTAAGATTTGACCGTATAGTTCATCTATACAGATAAATAAAATTGGAGTGTCTGTTTGTAATATTAAAATAACCGATTATTTTTGGCATAACCCGGTAAATGCGCATACGAATCACCTGAGGGTAAGCAATCGGCGTCGCCCATGGACACCTGGAACATCAGAGGCGTTACAAGTGCGTTACCGGCCTTTTGGGGATTAGGAGTTTGGATCGTTGGGGATTCAGGAATTGGGGAGATTGAAGAAGGTTATTGGGCCTCCGGTAACCTCACTCACACGACGAAACACAACGCAAGCGTTGCTTCACGTCGGTTTTCTGTGAGGCCTGGTATCACTCCGGTCGAGCCGGCCCATTCGTGCCGAAGCATGGCTCTCACACACTTAATTTTTTAATTCTACAATCATGCAAATGAATATTCATACGATGGATACACATACCAAATTATTAAGTTTTTCAACTTTTGTCTGTCTTCCTGTCCGTCTGTTTGTACTGGCTAATCTCTGTAAGGGCTGTACCGATTTTGACGGACATTTTATTGGCAGATAGCTGATGTACTAAAGAGTAACATATGGTACTTTATTTTGTAACAATTGAAACCAAAAAGTATGTTCTTAAATTCATATTCTACGTGGACGAAGTCGCGGGCAAAAGCTAGTGGTTCATAAATCTTATAAATGAGTATCCTTTTGTTTCAACAAAAATCAGCAGTCTTTTATCGAATGACTGCTCCCGCCTGGGTGAGGCAGGAGGGAGTGTCAGACTCTTACTGACTAAAAACCACCCCGTTCCTTCTCCTGCACGTCGAGCCAGAGCCCCGGTAACCCGTTAGGTTCTCCGCGTCTCCGAACTGATTATAGGGTAGAAGTACTCCTAATTTTCGCCAATTACGTAATTAGACATTTTTAAGAACTAGATCAATAATAATTCTAATAGTGATTACTATTACTAATTTTGTAAGTCTATTTGATATATCGAATTAAAAACATACTAACTCAGTACTTAATTTTCCCTAACCCAATGCCCCTAGTGTTTGACTTCGAATACCTTAAGTACTTAAAGTCACTCAACCAACAAAACAATCGAATCGATTTGACCGACTTTCCATTTAACATCTTAAAAGAATAATTCCTCAAGATCACTGACACAAAAGAAAACAGTAAAACGTTCCATTTAACGCAAAAACTGAGGAATCAATCAATCAACTTACAAAGCTAAGTGGTTTCTCACAAAAAACGAATCAGTGTGATCTTTATACCGTAAATTGGAACGCAATGCGGGTGATAGGATAGGTATTTTGAACCCCTACTAAAGAAAGTCATAGTCGACAGAAAAAATATATCAAAACGATAGTATTTCATTTTGGTTTTTATTCTACAGAAGGATTGTATAACGTATCTACCATAAGATAACGTAACGGTCCATAACGTAACAAACCCCAAATAATCCTTAAATTATTTATCCCCAAAAGGTTGGTAACGCACTTGTAAAACCTCTGGTGTTTCGGGTGTCCATGAGCGGCCATTGTTTACCATCAGGTGATCTGTTTGCTCGTTTACCAGCCTAATTCATAAAAAAAAACAACTGTTATGGAGTTCTACATAATAGGTACGTAGAACCTAACGGGTTACCGGGGCTCCGGCTCGACATGCAGGAGAAGGAACGGGGTGGTTTTTAGTCAGTAAGAGTCTGACACTCCCTCATGCCTCACCCAGGCGGGAGCAGTAATTCGATGATTTTACCCCATTAAAAAAAAGACGATAAAAACTGAATGTTCTTCTTGAAACTTCCTACGAACGATATAAAGTCGACTGCTTCGTTGAGCGTTTGGTCGCAAGTACGATTTATCTGAGCATTTGGTCTACGGTTCGGTTAGGTATTGGGTACTGAATATTTTCTTGCGGTTGTTCGAAACTTTAACTATCTTTAGTTAAAAAGATTAAAAGTCAAGACGTTGTGTTATAAGTAGGTCAAATAATTATAATTCTCAAAGAATGTTTTTCTTTGTGTATGTAGCTATTCTTTTCATAAGCAATCATTTCTCAAGATCTAACACAATGGTGGCTTTTTTGAGGTCTCACGTACGACACGTGACGCGTCAGAAATAGGATTTGTCAAGATCATCCCTGACTGATGAACTGGTCTTGTTGACACAACTACCAGTAGGCATACTAGTAGGTAAGGGCGATTTTCGAACGTTGTTTCACATCGTCATGCATTTGTACTTACTCTTGGTACCTAACACAACTAAATTGTAAACTAGTCCTTATATTATGTCGCTCATTTAAATGCCTAGTTACAATAATATTCCATTCTTTTTTAATTTTTAACATACTTTCCTTTGATTTGCTTTAAATACGCTAAGTAAGGAAGAGGGCGTTCACAGAAATCCTCGACCGGTCTTGAGTTTCGTGTTCAACCTTAATTTAAGTCGGTACGTCAATTCGATGCCCACTGTTTCTGCCAGCACGGTGCGATGCCTGATTTTGGCCAGTTCGACCAGTCCACAATTTGCTAGCGCTTGTGCTCCCCTCTAAAACATTTGTCTAGAATGCCACACAAGCGGCATAGGAGCAGATAAATCACCTGATGGTAAGCAATCGGTGCCGACCATGGACACCTGCAACACAGGATTTCAAAGTAAGTATGTATATACTTTAATGAAGAATTTGTTTTTGTATTAATATATTTTTTATAATTTATTTTTGATATTAAATAAAAAATATTAAATGATAGGACTATGTGTACAAACCTACCTATTACCTATTAAAATTAAAAGTACAGTTCAGAAAGTACTAGTAACGTCATCTCTTGTCGAGGGAATACGTTTAAACGAAGGGGACGGCTTGAACCTCACAAAATGATAATATACTCAAATGAATAATTTAGCTACCTACTGAATATTCAACTTCACGGATACACGCAGTCATAATAAAATTGTTTTATCCATGGCTGAATATGTCTGAATCCGATTTAATTATTCTGTTTACGAGAATTACAGTAGATTTTTTTTTTTTAATCTGGTAATAAACAATAATTTTTGTCTGTTTGACAAAGCTAAAAATTGACTTTGACATTACAAATTTCACTCATCATCGTCTCCCGTCGGCTTCTTTCTTGAAGCTAAAACTTAATTATTATTGAAATTTACTTCAATTACTCAATTCCAACATGGTAAGCACTTTTATTTTTATTTTTATTGTCTGTTAGTATGAAAATGCGGTGGCATTTGATTGAATTAAACTCAAAATATATCAATTTTGCGCCGTCATCACGGCTACCAATTGGTATTTTACCTATGTTTCTGTGGCTAGTTATACTAAACCATTATAATAATACAGTACAACTATATATTTGATTGTAACAATCCGAAATGCGAACATTTCTAGTCGCTTAAACATTGATTATGCGGAATCATAACCTAAATATATAGACTACAGCGTCTTTCTATTTTCATTACGTTTTTTCTGTTAGTCATGTACCAGCAACAACAGATAACCATTCTTGTAGTGTCCAGACAAAGGAATCGTTCATATAGCCATACAGAATATTCATTTCGAACTACTTTTTTCAGTTCAGAAATCAGTATGACAGCGATGTTACGGTATGGAGCCCTCAGGGTCGACTCCACCAAGTGGAGTACGCCATGGAAGCTGTAAAACTTGGATCAGCTACCGTAGGCCTGAAGAACAAACAATATGCTGTCCTCATTGCTCTCAAGCGGGCCGTGAGTGAGTTGTCCGCTTACCAGAAGAAAATTATTCCAATTGATGAGCATATTGGCATCTCTATCTCTGGTTTGACTGCTGATGCTAGAATGTTGAGGTAAATCACATATGGCTATTAATTAGATCGCAATAGATTTTATAAAAGGAGTTTATTCAAACTTTTGATGTTTGAAGATGCATAATTATATCGAGGGGTAACGGGCTATTTGGTTTAAGCGACATTTTTGCAACTTTACAGGAGAGCCTTTTAAAGTTTGAAATTTCGAAAAAAAATTCATAACAAAAACGCTTCTGCAGATATTTGAACGGGGTAAATTGCATTGAAATTTAAATAAAAATATCTAGTTGCTGATGCTAATTCCAAATAAAGCGGACCTTTAATTACAAAGATAAATGTCGCTTAATACAATCCGCCCTTTTTTAGAGACAGGAAAAATGATTTAAGTGACTTCATAACTACAATTGGCTACAAGGGAAAAAAATTAAGCGACGATGCACTATTTTTACAGAGTAAGCCAAAAAGTATGAAGTAACGAAACCCAAAATAAATAGAAGCAAGCTATTTATCTCAACTACCAATTTAGACTAAAATGAGTAACAGGCTAATTTACTTATGTGACATATAACATTGAAATTGTATCGTTAAATGTTTATGTTTATTTACATCTAAGACGATTAATGGCTGATAAAACAACCTGGATATATCGAAACAACCGAAAATCTCAGGTGCTTACATCGGATAAATAAACACAACACAATATCAAAGTATTTATTTAGATTAATAATAACAGTCTGCATAGGAACAACGATTATATTATTATTTATTCAGCAAAATCAGATAAATTAATGGGTTATTTACTGAAATTGCCGTTTTGTATGAAAAAATTTAAACGATTTTTTTCATGTATTTTTTATTTGTATTTATCGAAGTAATCACCCATGTAATCAATGCATCGTTGCCAACGCAGTGGCAGTTTATTGGGCATCAATAAACTGCCACAAAATACTTCTTAAACAAATCAGCTGGACGGGTGGCAACAAATTCTTTAAATGCATTTTGTACTGCCTCTCGGGTAATGAATTTTTTTCCCGCGAAGAAGTTATTCAAATTCTGGAAAAGAAGTAGTCTGGTGAGTAGGGTGGATATTGGAGAGCTTCCAACCCCAGTTCTTGTAACTTGGAGACCATCTGTTGTGCAGCTTTAGGTCGCGCGTTGTAATGCAGGAGCAATGGAGATGAGCGATTGACCAGTGCTGGTTGGAGATGTGTCAGCTTCTCCATCATTGTGTTCAGTTCTTCACATTACACATCCGCAGTAATGCTCACTCCGTTTGGTAAGAACCTGTGATGAATCAGACTGGCGCTAGACCATCAGTGACCATCACTTTTCTAGGAGTAAGTTTTCGTTTCGGGTATTGTTTAGGTGCTGAACTAACTACTACTACAACTATGTTGAGCAGTGCAAGGCACTGCTCGATGCATACTTAGCTCTGGCGATCATTGAGTTTGTGGGACACCCACTTGTCAAGTTTTTTTACCTTGCCAATTTGACGTAAATGGACCAATATTGTTTTGATGCTAACGTCGAAAGCTGTTGCTAAATCAGCCGTAGATTGTATGTCATCAGCTTCCACAATAGCCTATTGTCACCAAAGTCTTCGGACGACCGCGAGGTTGATCTTGAAATTAAAGTACTTAGGATTCAATTTCGATGAGCGTTTTACGTAAACACTGGCGGTGAGTGCGCGTCCCGTCTGTCTTCGACGCATTCTGGAGTGACTGAAGCGCCAGCGCACGATAGTCCAGTTGGATGATCACGATTTTTAACACCCGGGCGATGAAATAAATATAGTATCATATGACATGATTGAAATGTACCATATTAAAATTTAGTGATTTAAAGACCGATTCATATTTTTATGAATACTGGCAAAATGTTTCAATATCCATTATTAATGTTATCATCTGTATAAAACGACATGCATTTTAAAAAAAAGGAGGGCTAAATGATTTATGACTAAACAAAATATCTGAACGAAAACGACTATTTGGTTTAAGTAGCACCCTGCGTGGAAAATAAAAGCAGCTAGAAGTGTTTAAGAGACGAACCATGTCGTATTTGGGTGACGGATAAATGTTTTAAGCGACAACACACCGTGTGATTAGTGGGAAGTCAAAATGATTCAAGTTACTTGCTAGTAAAAATTAGAAACAGGAAAAACGCTTTAACTCATTTTGACTTATTAATTAGAGATAGGGTGACTGGTTTATGTCTCGGTTATTAATATGATGGTATGGTTCAAGTACATAATTTAATAAAAAATGCGAAATCCATGTCGTTTAATACACTGTCACTTTGGAAACAACACGAAAATAGAATTGTTTGAAACGCCAAAAAAGTGCTCCGATTTTAATGAAACCGGCATCAATCGACGGAGAAAAATTCGCTGATTCCGAATATATATATAACTCAATATCGCCCAAAATGTCGCTTAAACCAAATAGCCCGTTACCCCTCGATATGATTTTTATTTTTTTACCAAAGCAACGTATCTATGGTAACCTTTGTCCATGTCAGTAACAGTCTCTGTATTAAATAATTCTTTAGTTTGTTATGACTGAAACTACGGTTAGGGTTTTAGAATTTGGATCAGGTTTACTACAGATTCTATTATACATTATTAATTATTTAACTTTATTTTATACTCAAATTATGTGTTTCATTATTTCCAGCCGTTTCATGCGCACCGAGTGCCTTAACCACAAGTACGCGCACGATGCACCAATGCCTGTAGGCCGTCTCATCGGTCTAGTTGGAAACAAGATGCAGATTTGTACGCAGAGGTACGACAAGAGGCCTTTGGGAGTGGGACTGTTAGTAGCTGGCTACGACGTAAGTATTACAGACAGTTATTCCTCCTTAGATTTGTCATCAGTATAAAATATTAGCCCTTCAGTAATTTATCAATAATTTCAAATGAAATTCAGCTTTTGTAAGTCATATAAATATCTTATACCTCATGAAATGTTTTGGACAACCAGGTATTTTTATCCGAGATGCTATGACTAAGCTGTATCACAATTTGTAGATATTAAACATTAGTATCAACATGGTGGCTCGGAGGTCTAATACACCCGCTTCTCATGCATGAGAGTGCTGGTTCGAAACCAACACCAAGCACCAATGTAACTTTTTCCCAGTTATATGTACTTTCTAAGATTATTCAGACATCTCTGACAAATGGTAAAGGAAAACATTGTGAGGAAATCTAGAGTTTATAATTTATAATTATAAGTTTGAAATCAACTGGCATTGAGCAAGTGTTATACTCAAACTTTTCCATGTTAGAAGAGTCCTTTGGTCAGCAGTGGCCACTTATAAATAGGCTATTGATGTGTGAGTGTGGTGAAGACATGATCTTTGACAATCCTGGATTATGAGTTTCCTCTACATCAGAGTATGTCATAATCTTCAAGTTTGTCAGGCAGGCAGGGTGGAGATCACAAGGATGTTTGACAAGGTTAACATATTGTATCAATGGTGCCTTGCAGTCAACAATAGGGTAGATGACTAATTATTATTCTAATTTCAGAAATAACATTTTAGCCCTCACTACTAAAGTTTGATTCATTTTATCTAAGTATCATTTTACTATACGAAAAAGTGTCTAATATTTTTTCATTACTTTTTTTTATGGCATAAGCCGGCAAACGAGCAGACGGATCACCTGATGGTGATCCGTCATGAATCCTCACGAGAGTACTTATGCTTTATTGCTGGAGAAAGTGCAAAAAGCATTTCTTAGATTTCTGTACAAAAAGCTATTTGGGTACTATCCATTCTTATATCCCACCAAGTTTTTACTAGGCATGTTAAATTTTAATTCTTTGGTAGTGAGGCGAAATTACTCTCTAATTATTTCTACCTGTAGTACTCTGCGAGGACAATCTGACTGTCCGGAGCTGGTGGCACAGGTTGTACGGTTGTTTGTGCCCCCAGTTCTGAAGCATCAGCTTAGGCCACGTAGGCACCCCTTACTGGCTGTCCCAGTAACGCGAACAGTCGCGCATGCAAATTCTCCGCTTGTTCGAGCATTAACAATGATCAATGCTTTCCTGGCTTCCGCACCAGAGTGTGATTTGTTTGCAGCGAGATGGAAGGATGTATGTCGTGAATGTGTAAGATTTTGCGAGAAGATGGACGACTGATGAATTAGTTTTAAGTAATTATAATTATCGTTCCATTTTTATAAGATACCTGTTACATAAGTGTAAAATAGTAAATAAGTAACATTTTTTTTTATTGTTTAACTGTATAATGTTTTGGCTTGTGCTGTAAAATTATACATGTGCTTATAAATAAATAAATGGTAAGCAATCGGCGTCGCCCATGGACACTTGGAACACCAGAGGCGTTACAAGTGCGTTACCGGCTTTTTGGAGATTAGGAGTTTGAGGATTGTTGGGGATTCAGGGATTACTTTGAGACATAACTGAAAGAGTAATTAGGTTTTTAATTTTCATACCCTGTCATCATACCTATTCTTGATTTCAGGACCAAGGACCACATATCTACCAGACATGTCCATCAGCGAACTTCTTCGACTGCCGTGCGATGGCGATCGGAGCTCGGTCACAATCAGCTCGTACTTACTTAGAGAAACACCTGTCTTCGTTCATGGACTGTGATCTTCAGGAGCTGGTCGCTCATGGACTTCGAGCTCTTAGAGATACTTTGCCTAATGAAGTGGATCTTAATACTAAGGTAGGATTAATGTTAATAAAGATTTTTTTGTCTGCTCGTTGGCTGTGTGATTGCAAGTGAGACTGCCAGGCAAGGGGCTCGGGTTTGATTCTCGGGTCAGGCAAAGTATTAATGGGTTTTAAAGAAAAAATTATCGGTAGTAGCACGGACTCTAGAATTGTGCCCAGTGTATGGCAATAGGCTCACCCCCTATTACATGGGACTTGTAACAAAATTAGTGAAAAGTGGGTGTTACATGATTGTACAGTAGCATTAAATGCTGTAATTTACACTTCTGCGTACCCCTTCAGGGATAAATGGTGGGATGTTATGTTATGTGTATTTTTGTTTTATTAAACATTTACCAGTTGGTATGAGTTGCAAGTAATAGGGTGCGAGTCTGTTGCCATATATTAAGCCAAAGCTAAGAACTAAAACTGAGACCCCTTTCTGGACAGTTACACTTGCAACCCAACTAACCAGACAGTTATTAAGTTAACAAAATAAATAAATAAATAACCTTTTTAATAATTAACATAATTACAATTAACTACTAACAGAAAAATATGGTACAGGCATGTATCAGTTCTTTAATTGCCTGCCTGGAATCCTGGATTAATTAAATAAATAGAGAGATTAATACATCTTATCATCACTCAGTTTGTTTCCAGCCAGAAGGAATAAATAAAAAAACAGTTCTCCGAAATGTAAATTGTGAGAAAGGTGGTTTTATTAAAACTAAAAAAAAGTTACCAACTTACAAAATTAACCAACTGTACTCGGAATTTTAATTCGGTTCCAGATTTGACAATTTCAGTGTTGAAACGTTATGACAAGTACTGAATAGTGACGTTGCGAAATTATTCGATATGGAAATGGAATATTTCTGGATCGATTCTTCTCGTTTATAATTTTACTCTTGTAAACTAAGTATATCAGGAAATTAAATATTTCTGACGGATAATTTAGTTTTGACGATTATTTGATCTGAGACTTTTCTTTTTATAATAGGGAAGACGACTAATTTTTTTTTTAATGTCCGCCTGGTAGATTATTTAAAAACATTAGACACGTATTTTTTATTTTCTTACGGAAACGAATAGTTTCGAAGATATATTGATTTGAAATGTCGCGTGACGTCACTTCTCAGTACATTTTATACTAAGAAATGACGTTTTAGCCCCCACTCCTAAACTTTGATTCGTTTTATCTAAGTATTGTTTTATTATACAACAAAATAAAAAAATACGTGTCTAATATTTTTTTATTACCTAAGTTACGGACTAATTATATTTTTAATTTTCATACCCTGTCATCTTCCCCATTGTGTGTGAAATAAATAACAAAATGTAGTCATGAAGGAACATGACAAATAAAACAGATAGATGTATTATGGTAATAATTTAATTTATAAATTATCGCCGTCATCGCTATCGCTATCGCTGTCACTTTCTGTAACATTTATTATAAAACACACACACTGATTATTTATCGATTTTTGTGTTCATCACTACACTATTATATGTGGTATCATTATTTCACAAAATGATAGTAGCTAATGTCAAATCTGGAATCTGAATATAATTCTGACTATAGAAGCAATGTTGCCAGTATACTTAATTAGTGAGAAGTGTGTATTATTACATTGTGCATCACATCACTGTCCCTTCGTACATTCAAAGTCTTGTTGTGACACTAAATTCTGTTACTGCGCCACATTATTAGAAAAGCCTGGGTGTCTTTAAGGCCCGAGTGAACAGGTTCCTTATGGGCAGACGAGCTCCATCGTAGACCACATCATCGCTTGTGGTAAGCGAGCAGGCGAGATAGTGGTCAAACGTCGGCCCATCAAATAAAACAAAGAAGCTTTTATTGCCACTAAGTAGGCTGGACTTTAAGTCATTTTCTACTAATGACCGTATTTTTTTGTAGAACGTGTCCATCGCCATTGTGGGTCCAAAGACTCCTCTACGCATAGCTGATGAAGAGGAACTGACTCGTCTCTTAGCGCTGGTGGAAGGCGAGGAGAGGAGGGGCGGCGGTGCCAGTGCTACTGGTGACGCGGGTGCGCCTGCTGACCGCGACCGTGATGCCCCGGGGGACGATCCTCAACCCGCCGTAAGTTATATTAAACAAATATAAACTATGATCTTACCAACATGCATGAAGCATTTTCACCTCGAACTTCTTTAATAAGAATAGCTGAAGACTGAAACTATTTACCAGTCCCTGTTTTCTGAACAGTATAATCTGTGTATCTGCAAGACGATACGACCTTCAAACCTGTGACTCCTCTGGTGTTGCGGGTATCCATGGGCGACGCTGATCGCTTACCATCAGGTTATCCGTCTGCTCGTTTGCCTCCTATTCCATAAAAAAGACTGAGTGAATAGGTTGCTTATAGCTAGGCATGGTCCACGGAAGGCGACATCATCGCTTACTTCCAGCCGAGATAGAGACCAAACTATGACCCATTTTCAATGTAAAAAATAGTTTCAGTATGACGAGGTACCTCGTCTAGTTTCAAGCCAGTCCAAGGACTCATCAAATTAAAAAGTAGTCACGGCGGCTTCTCTCTAATATCAGGCGACAAGCTGCTGTGTGGCTTCATGGTTCTGATTTATGCTCGGAACAATCATTTTTGTTACTGACAAAATAATAAATAGGGGTCACAAATGAATTTTCTTACTACAGGCCAGTGGCACTGTGATAAATTGTAATTGTCACCCACTTTTTAATGCTTTCCTGTACTTTAGTGTTGTAAACATAGGAGATGTTTGCAACACACACACACACACACACATACACACACACACACATACACACACACACACACACATACACACACACACACACACACACACACACACGCGTGCGCGCGCACAGAACACTGTTCCCATGTGAGAAACGAAGTCGCAACACCTTGCTTAACAGCGAATCCCCGAGCCACAGTGCCAAAGACGAAATGCAAATGATAATATTGTATGTTTATACTACAAATTACAACTGAATACCTAACTACTTCAATAAACAAAGACGTTAATAACTACACATAATTATAAAGTGTAAACATTATAGTGATAATAGTGTTTTGGTCACGTCATCTTAATATTAATACTACAGTTAAATAGCTACTGTAACTGCCTTGTAATTGAAAGTAGTTTTGTTTAGCTTCCTATGTTTATACACAAAATAACCTGTGTGCAATAACAATGTTTCGTCCTAAAGACTTGGATAATATTTTAAAATTGAGATAATGAAATGAAATCATTTTATTAATGTAGTTGATGTAAAATTTTCAACTGAATTATTGTCATCTATTTACCGAATTCGAATTGTTTAAATTGCAATTTAGCTAATGATTGCGCAAACAGACTTTGCATACATACATACGCTTGTCTCCCATGGGGTAGGCAGAGACTCGAACGCCAATTAGGTACTTGCCAACTAGTCAAATTCAATACTTTTTTCCAACTGTCAAAAACGACAGTTTTCTATGAATTTTGTACGAAATGGTGTATTGTAACGTCACGTTTTTTAGCGTCAAACAGCATACTTATTTCTTAAAAAAATGCTGGAACAATGGAACATGCTAATATTAAGTTGGTCATGAAATCAATTAATGAAAGTGTGATTATTGTTTTATATTTAATTGTATAGATCAATCGTTTCTTTTTTATTATTGCAAGCACCGAATTGCTATGATTCTTACATACCTCTCGTTTCATCAACAGGCATCAGTATTTTCATGCTCGTCGGTTACGGGTACTTTAATTACCTACAAAGAAACAGACTGTATGTTACATTAGCTTCATCTGATGATAAGAGAACAGTAACCCTTACATTCTAACCGACAGCTGAAATTGTTTATTTCCTGAAGGATATAAACCTAGGTGTCTTCAAGGCCTGAGTAAATAGGTTGCTTATGACAGGTCTGTTCCATTGTAGGTTGCATCATAGCTTACTATGAGCCGAAATGGAGGCCACACGTACGCCTATTATAAAAAAAACTCGGTTTTAACAAAAACTCTTTACATCTGATGTCAAAAATCGTTTTTAATCTATTTTGGACTAAGATTGGACTATTACTCCCAACTTTTTAACCTTTTGGCAAAATTCATTACTAAAAATAATATTAAAATCTAATGTATAATGAGAGTGCCTAATATATTATAATACATAATCTTGTAATGCCCACACCTGCCGTAACAGTTGACGCTGGCAGAATAGTCAACTACTAAATAGTGGAGACTCAATTGCCATAGAAGAAAACAAAATACTTTTTCGAAAATGTCTGACATTTGACTTGTGTCAAACAAATGGTATTGCGTGTTGTGTGTGTAACTATTTCATTTCATTAACTTCTAAATCTCCGACGATTATGAAAAATCCACAACATTTATTCACACAAAAGTAGTCTCTAAACATCGGAAATAAGGTCTATAATGGAGTAAGTGGAGAGCAGTCACCGGTGACCGCTTGGGGACTAGGCAGTTAACTACTAATTAACCCATAAATCCCCAAGCGGTCACCGGTGACCGCTTTCCACTAATATTACATTACATTATAGACCTTATTTCTAATGTTTAGAGACTACTTTTCTATGATCAAATTTAGGGGGTGGATTTCAACGGGCCGCGTGACTTGTGGACTGCAGGGCTAAGGATATCCGATTTCGAAAATTCTCACTAAACAACGACAGACTTTGGTATTGTGCCCCGTAATAGGATCGCTATTACACAGGCCTTTGATTTGTGAAATGTAGGTGTTACAATTAATAATTGTGCGTCTCTGCCTTTCTAGTAGGCGACTAAGAATAAACTTTGTAGTGGTGAGAATAATTTGTAAGGCTCCGTAGTTTCGGGAGACAATACACATTAAGTGTGGGAGAGCAGTACTACGGTCTTATTACAAAAAACCGACGTGGAACAACGCTTGCGTTTTGTTTCGTCGTGTGAGTGAGGTTACCGGAGGCCCAATTACTCCCCTTCCCAATATCCCCAATCCTCGAATTCCCAACAATTCTCAAATTCCTAATCCCTAAACGGCTGGTAACGCACTTGTAACGCCTGTGGTGTTCCAGGTGTCCATGGGCGACGCCGATTGCTTACCATCAGGTGATCCGTCTGCTCGTTTACTGGCTTATCACATAAAAGAAAACACATTGATAGTCCATAACGGTCCTCTGGTAGCCTATTGAGCTCCTCTACAAAGTAGAGGTTCCATATTTTCTCTGTGTCTAGCAGGCAGTTTAAACGATCAGGTTTATCAGGGAGCGTTGCTGCCAGTTCTTTGTTAAATATGCGATATACAACACCCACGAAAAGAGTAGGCATGATAACAAGTTGTACTCACCAAATAATAAATCAACACAAAAACAAACTAACAATAAAATGTTTACTCTTTATAATATTAACTAATATAAAAGTGTTGATAAGCGAAGCCCGGGAATAACCTAGTACAAAAGAAAGCGATAAGAAATGACCGTTACAAATTGCTTTGACATCCGTTATCATATGAAACGAGGGGTCAATTTAAACATATCAGTGTTGTAGTCCAACCACATAACTAGACGTTTTGTTAGACGTCTGTTGTTACAAGCAAAAAGTAGTAAAAAGTTGTTCAGGCTTCCCACGGATCCTATTCTCTGACTTGCGTGACAAAGTATCAATTAATTTTGGTGCAGTTTCTTAGAAGTTGATGAAGAGATTATATTAATGATTTAAGTCTAGTATAATTTATACAGTTCCAAATTCTGTTCTATGATTTATATTTTTAAAGTCTCAATGTGCACGACAATATCTACATTAATAAATAAATACTTAATTAGTTTGTAGATACATTATTTGGAGATGTTTAGATAGTTTGTGATTTTGTCAATTTTGTATTGACTGCGACGTATACAATAGAGTTGTAGTAGTAAGCCGGCAGTCACAGTGAGGCGGTGTCGTCATGCGGTCCATTATTATATCGCTCTGGCTAGCGAGCGCGGTGCACTCACTCGATCTACAGTACTTAGACCCCACCAAACTGCAAACACAAGTCCCACCTGCAATCCAAGAACGTGCAGCATTAGAAATCATCAGGCAATATTATGCTAAAGTGAACGTGAGAGTCGATCCAGTTTTTTTCGTTAATAAAAAAGACAGTTTTCATTTAAAAACCTTCAATGGCACCCTGGACATCAGAGCTAGCAGCGGAGTCGCTGCCACTTGGGGTTTCAACTACTTTCTCAAAAAATACTGCAAGAGCCAAATTGAATGGCAAACGAAAAACGTAAATATACCGTATCTACTGCCCGAGGTGGACGAGACGGTGGTGGCTAACGACCGGTTCCGGTATTATCAGAATGTGTGCACAGCGTCCTACAGCTTCGTTTGGTGGAACATCTACAATTGGAGAGACCATGTGCAATGGATGGCCCTCAACGGTATCAACCTCGCATTGGCACCCGTAGCTCAGGAAGCCGTCTGGACACAAGTCTACACACAAGTCGGTATGACTCAAGAAGAAATAGACCAACACTTCACGGGCCCAGCGTTCCTATCCTGGCTTCGAATGGGCAATGTACACGGCTGGGGAGGACCTCTACCAAAGTCTTGGAATGACGTGCAAAAGGAGTATCAAATAGATATCATCAATAGAATGCGTAATCTCGGAATCGTTCATGTACTACCAGCTTTCAATGGTCATGTTCCTGTGGCATTCTCTAGGATATATCCAAATACAACATTTCACAAAGTGCAACAGTGGAACAAATTCGATAACCCGTACTGCTGCGGTCTATTCTTGGATCCGTTTGATCCTTTATTTGTGCGCATCGGTCGAATGTTTCTCAATGAGATCTTTATAGACACGCCTGTAAGTCACATCTATACAGCCGACCCCTTCAATGAAGTCGAACCCTCGGAATTTTCCACTGCACTCGTACAGCAGACGTCCAAGAAAATATTTCAAACACTTTCCGACTTCGACAAGAATGCAGTGTGGCTACTTCAAAATTGGATGTTTGTTAATGCTCCACTTGCATGGCCAGTGGTCAGGGTGAAATCATTTTTAAATTCCGTGCCAAGTGGCAGAATGCTGATACTAGACTTGCAATCAGAGCAATGGCCACAGTACGATCTGTATCAAATGTATTATGGTCAGCCGTTCATCTGGTGCATGTTGCACAACTTCGGTGGCACACTGGGCATGTTCGGTAATATGATCACGATAAACAAGGACGTGTACGAAGTGCGGTCGCGAGATAACAGCACCATGATCGGCATCGGCCTCACTCCAGAAGGAATCAATCAGAACTATGTGGTGTACGACCTGATGCTAGAGTCTGCCTGGCGCAAGTCTCCCGTCGAGGACCTCAATGCGTGGGTTGCTGATTATGCAGAGAGAAGATATGGGTGTAATGAAACAACGGAAGCGTGGAAATATTTACTCAAAAGTGTCTATAGTTTTAACGGATTAAGTAGAGTCAGAGGAAAATATGTGGTCACTCGAAGGCCGAGTTTAAAGCTAAAACCCTGGGCTTGGTATAAGAGCTACGACTTATTCGAAGCGTTTCGAAAATTCGTTTCCGTTAGTAATATTAGTTGTTACTCTGATGGGTTCCGTTATGACTTAGTAGACGTGACGCGACAAGCTTTGCAGTATAGAGTCGAACAGCTTTATATAAATGTCGTCAATGATAGATACACGAACGTATTTATTTATGAAGCTTCTATTAAACGATTTCTTGATGCTCTTAATGATATGGCACAAATATTATATCAAGATGAACATTTCTTGGCCTCGAAGTGGTTCAAGAAAGCAAGATATTTAGGGAAGACGCTCGACGAACAAGACTTGTACGAATTTAATGCGCGTAACCAGATCACGCTTTGGGGACCAAAGGGGGAGATATCTGACTACGCTTGTAAGCAATGGGCAGAGTTGATCGTATACTATTATCTTCCGAGATGGGCGAATTTCCTGGATGCTGCTCTAAAGGCGAAGAAAGCTGGTGAAGAATTCAATGAAAAAGATACTCGTCGTGTGATAACATCGACTATAGAAGTGCCGTTTGTGACTGCTCGGTCAGACAATGTAGACGGTTCCTCATTAACAGGATCATTCACTACGGCTATGGAAGTAGCGAAGAGTTTGCACAGAAAATGGTCGTGTGCTCCAGACGTGGAGGATTTGCCAGTGGTTGTCATAGGATCAGATAAACATAGAAGGACTACTTTAGCTGATGATGACTTGGAGAATGAAGAAACACCAGGGTTTCCGAGTGTGATCATCATTCCCACTACGCCTGAAGACTAAACATTACCGCTACATGTTTTTGTAAGTTTATTAACTGTATTCAAACCTTTACCTGCGTGAATAAAATGATAATCCTCCCTTAACTCGTCGAGTACCGGTTTTGTAGACACAATTATAGAACAATAGGTTGCGGTCACCGGTGACCGCTTGGTGTTTGACAGTTTAAAAACAATAGTCAGGTTGAAAACATCGACAATCAGACAGACATACAGTACCATACAATGCAACATGCTTTATTATTGTCGTCAATAAAGCATTTGCCAAATTATAACTAATGGTAGGCCTTACCAGGCAATAGAAGTAGAATAGGCCGGTTGGACCGGAGCGATTCCATGGCCCCAGAGGAAACCAGCGTAGATCAACGCTTGTCTTTAGATTACCAGAGGTCCAATTCCCCATCCCCCAAATTCCGTCAACGCATTTGAGTCCATGTTGGGCAAAGATTGCTTACCATCAGGTGATACACTCCTTGATCCACTACCACTCGTTTGCCACTTTATACTAAAAAAAGCTTAAATATTCATTTAATTTGTTCCAGGTGGCCATGGATACGGAGTAAACGACGAGCGACTCCGGGATGCTGACGATGATGAAGTTACCAAGGCTGATAGAACTAGCAAGTTCTATCGTTGCTATGGCAACCAAAATGTCTTCGTCAACAGCGCTAAGACTTCGCGTCTCCCTTCCTGTTGTTCGCTTAAAGACCTGCCTTGGCCAGTGTTTAGGAGTATAAGTACATGTTGCTAAGTATACAATAAAGTAGCTACTGTTGCGCGGTTTCACCCAATGTTCGGCTTCTTTTGATTGTAATCGTTTTATAACCAACCTTCCTCAATAAATGGACAATCCATCACAAAAATATTTTTTAAATTTAGTCTATTGGTTCCATAGAATAGAGCGTTCAAAGTGTTTAAACAAAAAGATAAACTCGAACTGTATTCTAATACTTGGCTACGAAATTGCTTTGTCATTTATGATGAAACATCCAAGTTCAATGCTTTGACGACTGAATAAAATTATCTTTTGAAAACACGCGATCCTATAAGAATATCGGGATAAAATGTAGCTATATTACTCACTAAAAGAAGTTTTTCAATAGCGAAAATATATAAAAAATATATATAAAATATATAAATCGGTCTAGTAGTTTCGGAGCCTATTCAATGCAAACAATAAAATCTATATTTTTATAATAAACGAAAACTACTTTTTTCTTTACAGTCGAGTGATGAGTTTATATTTAGTGATATTGTCGTACGCCTGAGCGCTGGCCAAGGCAATGAAGGGATAATAGCATTTTACTATTTTATTTTTCAATTTGTATTCAATAAACATTTTCTTTATTATGTATCTATGTTTTTTATTATGTATTACTAGATCAGTCATTTGATAGTCCTACCTGAAATGTTTTGCGGGAGTTTTGAAAATTTGTAATTTTGTAGGTTTTAATGATTCCATTTTGTAACTTTTTACGTGCGTCGCTCGCCGCACCTTGGAAAAATGGCGGCCGAAAAAACCTTTTTTTACAATGTCTTTTCCTGTGTATTTTACGAGAAAATCGAAAAGAGATATTGTAATAAACCTTCTAGACAACTTTTCAGGTACCCCTATATCTCCTACTTAATTACCGAACTATACCTGTAACTGCCTTTTTTTTATCGCATTTTTTTATTGGGTCGTTGCAAGCATGAATGCGCCAGAGGGGTCCCTTGTTCGAACCAAGACCCTTATAGTCAGAATTTGATGTAATGGCAAGTCTTTTACTGCCTGCCTCGTTGGCCGAGTGGTCGCAAGTGCGCGTGTCCGGCAAGGGGTCTCGGGTTCGATTCCCGGGTCAGGCAAAGCATTACTGGGGTATTTTTTTAAATTACAGTAGTAGCACGGAATCTGGAACTGTGTCCGGTATATGGCAATAGGCTCACCCCCTATTACATGGGACTCATAACTAGTGTAAAGTGGGTGTATAATTAGTGAAAAGTGGGTGTTACTTCCGTGTGCGCCTCTGCCTACCCCTTCAGGGATCAAAGGCGTGATGCTATGTTATGCTATACATATTATAATATTGACAGAATATGGTGTTATTACTATTTTTATTAGCTTCCACATTGGCAATCCAGATTACACAACAGGAGCTCTCGAGCAACATGACTCGGGAGCAGTCATTCATTTCTCTAAAGAGAAACCTAATTATATGATGTGTTCCTTGAAGAGACGTTGGAAATAGACGAGAAGCTGATGGTCATACCCACAGAAGAACCAGATTCAAGAATTTGTAGAGTTTTGGAAGTAAAAAAGTGTGAGTATTTTTTTTTTATTTAGATTTCGTGGTGGCCCGGAGGTTTAAGACGCCTGCTTCCTATGCATTAGGGTGGGTTCGAAACTTACCAACGGCAAGTACCAATGAGACTATTTCCGAGTTATATGTACTTTCTAAGATTATCTAGACACCACTGACAAACGGTGAAGGAAAACATCGTGGGGAAACCTGGACTTATAATTTCTAATTAGAAGTTTGTAATCGCCAACCCGCATTGAACAAGACTAGTGATTAATGCTCAAACCTACTCCGTGTGAGAAGAGGCTTTGTTCAGCAGTGGGCATTTATAGGCTGATGATGACGATGATGATGAATTTTTTTATTGTGAAGTAATTTTTTGCATTGTCGAAAATCGTTGTTTTTTCGGTTTGACAATTCTTATTTTCATAATGTATGTACCTTATCATTTTAACTGTTTTTTTTTCTACTAGTCAAACATATTCATTAACTCGGTATTTGTAGTTTTATACATTCAACTACAGTGAATCTACTATCCCTATGTCGATCGCAGCGCCATCTATGATATCGGTTAAAGAACTTATACATAGAATAATGGTTCATTGTCGCTCTGTTTTGATACTCTTGCATAATATTTACATTTACCTAAATACTTTAGGAAGGGAGTATAACAAAGGATTACATCAGATCACAATATACAACTAGGTATATTATTTATCTAAAAATATCGAAATATTATGACTTAGGTATTCATAGCATGTTAGTGTTCGTAACACTAAAAGATTTTTGTCTATTTTAAGTTCTAAATAGTTACCAGGTGCCGTTGAATATGGTGACATCAATTGAGAAAATATATTACTAATATACTTTTGCCCGCGACTTCGCTTGCCCACAAAATCATCGAATGACTGCTCCCGCCTGGGTGAGACGGGAGGGTGTCAGACTTTTACTGACTAAAAACGACCCCGTTCCTACTCCCGCACTTCGAGCCGGAGCCCCGGTAACCCGTTAGGTTCTCCGCGACACTTATAAGGGGATGGAAATATAGATTGACATAGAAAAAATTACGCACTATTTTTTATTCTTTTTCCTATGGTGCCACTTCATTCCTGAAGGTTGGCCCTCAACTTTTGGAATTGGTTCTTGTCATTGGCCAGGCGGAAAAGTTGTTCCACAGAGCTGATACCAGTCCACTCCCGAATATTGCGCAGCCACTACTTTTTCCTTCGCCCAGAGCTTCTCTTCCCTTCATCATTATAAGATGTAGGAGCATGTAATTGTCATGTCTCAGTACGTGACCGAGATATTCTATCTTGTGCTTTTCATGATTTGGATCATTTTGCATAGCATGTGGACGCGCTGGAGCACGGTATCGTTCCTGACATTTTGCGTCCAACTTATGCGTAACATCCGACGGTAACACCGCATTTCAAATGTATTTATGCGTCTAATGGTGTCATCTTTTAAGGTACATGCCATATTTTTTATTAGTCACAAATAATTCGCATACCTACCAATTATTAGTTGTGTCCGAAATGTTCCATACAAACTATCACCTCCCCCCCATTTTAGGAAAGTGAGCGGTTAGAAACAGCAAAAATGAATGCAGCCTATGTCACTCCATCCTTTCAATTATCACCACTAAAAAATCACATCGATTCGTCGCTCCGTTTTGTTCTTTTGTCAAACAAACACACACGCACACTTTAGCATTTATTAGATTAGTATAGATTTGGTAGGTACACCATTATAAGGTCTTAGTCATCAATTATAGGACAGGAATTTATAATACAACGATCCTTTTTGCAATTCCATGCTTTGTGTTCTCATCAGCACAATCACAACAATATACCCCATTATGGAGCATAGAACATAATATAGATATCATATGAAGTTCATGATAGACCTCAGTTCGATCCAAGCGTTATTATGTGGCGGTCCTTACTGTTAGCAGTGTTTCTAGTACCATGTCCTGTATCATTACTCGATTTGGAATATCTCGATCCAACCAAACTACAGACAGTGGCCTCGCCTCACGCCCAAAAGCGTGCCGCCTTGCACATCATACGAAGGTACTCAAAACAAGTATTCGTTGAAATCAATCATCTCTGGTTTTATAACGGCAGAGACTCCTTCAACATAAAAACGACTGATGGATTTTTATTTATCAAAGCTAGCACCGGAGTTGCTGCAGTTTGGGGCTTCAACTATTACCTCAAGAAATACTGTAAGAGCCAAATTGAGTGGCAGACCCAGAACGTTAATATTCCAAAATTCCTTCCCTTCGCCGACGAAACAGTTGTAGCAAATGACCGATTTCGATACTATCAGAACACGTGCACCGTATCTTTGAGCTTCGTCTGGTGGAACATCAGCGATTGGAAGAAGCACATAGAATGGATGGCATTGAATGGAATCAATCTTACGTTGGCCCCTGTGGCTCAGGAAGCTATTTGGGCTCGGATATACCGTAGACTTGGCATGACACAAAGAGAAATAGACAATCACTTCACTGGACCACCGTATTTAACTTGGCTGCGAGCTGGCAACATCCATGGCTGGGGCGGTCCACTGCCTCCCTCGTGGCATAAACTACAATTACAGATACAGGAAACAGTTATTGACACCTTACTGAATCTTGGAATTGTCCCTATAATACCAGCGTTTAATGGTCATGTACCTGTGGAATTTTCCAGGATATACCCGAATCAAACGTTTTACAATGTGAAACCATGGAATAACTTTGGTACCGACTACTGCTGCGGGTTATTTGTTAGTCCGATCAATCATATCTTTAAGAAACTTGGTAAGATGTTTTTAGAAGAATTGGGTAACATGCCAGGTTGTCACATATTCATATCAAATCCATTTAACGAAGTGACTTTATCTGACTTCGATACAGAGTTAGCGCTTGAAACAGCTGGAGCTATTTTTGCAACGATTTCTGAGTTCGATCGGCGAGCAGTTTGGGTAGTGCAAAATTCTATGTTTGTCAACAGGTGGCCAAAGGAAAGAGTTGAAGCTTTTTTAGACGCAGTACCATATGGAAGAATGCTTGTGCTTGATATGGAATCAGAGAGGTTACCAAAATATTACTCTTTTAACATGTATTATGGTCAGCCGTTCATCTGGTGCATGTTGCACAACTTCGGTGGCACACTGGGCATGTTCGGCAATATGATCACGATAAACAAGGACGTGTACGAAGTGCGGTCGCATGATAACAGCACCATGATCGGCATCGGCCTCACTCCGGAAGGAATCAATCAGAACTATGTGGTGTACGACTTGATGCTAGAGTCTGCCTGGCGCAAGTCTCCCGTCGAGGACCTCAATGCGTGGGCCGCTGATTATGCAGAGAGAAGATATGGGTGCGAAGCCACAGAAGCTTGGAGATTCTTACTTAAAAGTGTTTACAGTTACGAAGGATTTGGTAAAATAGATGGCTCATACATTACGACCAAGAAGCCAAGTTTCAACTACAGCCCTTGGGCTTGGTATAATAGTAGTGATTTATTTCAAGCATTGAATAAATTACTTTTCCTCAACAATAGCACTTGTGATTCTAAAGGATACCGCTACGATTTAGTGGATCTGACGCGACAAGTTTTACAATATAGAATCGAACAGATATTTCTTAAACTAGTGGACGAGAGAAACACAAGTAGGTATCGAAACACAGTAGAATTATTTTTGGATGCTTTTGATGATCTGGCTATGATTCTGGCTACTGATACCAATTTTGTGGCTGCACCTTGGTTTAAGAAAGCAAGAGATTTGGGTAAAACAAGTGAGGAAGCAGATTTGTTTGAACACAATGCTTGGAACCAGCTAACTACTTGGGGTCCTAATGGACAACTTAACGACTATGCGTGTAAGCAATGGTCAGAAATGGTCGCGTATTACTACAGGCCTGGATGGGCGAAATTTTTGTATGGCACAATGAGAGCAGTAAATAGAAACTGGGAATCGACGGTAAAGCCGGGTAAGGTGAAACAAAGGCCAGTTTATAACACGAAGAATGTTTTGCTCCGTGGGATGAGGAAGAAGAGTCCTTATGGCATGGCTCTGCGGT